TTTTGTAATCATTACGGTGGCCAATTTACCATTTCAACTTTGTTGATATATCCAAATTATTTCGTTACTCCCACCGACGCAGCCCCAAACAGTTTCTTTCGAAACTATCAGCCTTTATTAATAGCTATGAAGCCCTAATCTGTGCTCAAGAACTAGGGATCAATTTTACTGCACTGCCTGCAAAACATTTAACAATCGAACTGCTCAGGTGCTTTTGAATTCTGTTGTAAATTTGTTTTGAATTTGAAACCATTCTGCTTTGATTACTCATATCAAGATGAGCAGTCAGTTTCCACTAGAACTTAACAGGTTTAATCAATTTAATCAACAAAAACTTTGTAATTATCTTTCTTTTAAAAAGTGTTACATCAAACTTAGTAGCATCTCTCGTGCTTTTCAGAATTGTTTTTTTTCTATCATGTTTATTACTTCTTGTGTAACATTGACAAAAAACCAGGCAGACATTTTGAACATTAGCACCCCCCTATAATCATCTTGTGCAAGGTGATTTTGAGTGCCCCTACCATAATTAAGACATGCAAGGTGATTATAGCAGGATAAGATGCAATCTTAACCAATCAGAGCGTGCACATTTCTATAATCAGACAATTTTATTAACTCCTGTTATTTTAGCAATGAGAATTTGGAGTTTATTAAACAATATCCCCTTGCTGATATTCATATGTTGTGCCATTACCCCTTTGCTTCAAAATGTATCGAAATTGTAAGGAGAGATTCCTTTTTGGTCCCTAAGGTTTAATTGTAAATGCATTCAGCTAGGCAGACAAGGATAGTGTAAAACAAAATACCATGTACTTATTAGCAGAACAATTCTTTCATTTTGAAGAAATGACACTGACCACCATTATCAACAAAAACCATCCAACAAGAACCAACATTTAACTCAGATGGATTGATCATTAAAGGGAAATATTATACTCACTGTGATTATGAGTGTGTTGTTGGCATGGGCTTTAGATATTGCACTCTGTTCTAAATCCACTTTTGCTCTCTCCATGTCAGGAATTTGAAATTTTTTATAGTATCTGATAGAGAAAACAAACTAAGCTAAGCATTGGAAAAAAAAAACAAAAAAAAAACACAGTCTGTACTCAAGCTAAGTGGCCCAACTTTCCATAGCTTATCTACCTTTCCACTGCATGAAGCAGGTGGGAGCAAGGCTCAAATAATTTCCAAGCTGATGGAAGTTGTCCAGTTAAACCTATTTTTGCTAGGACACAACCCCTTTTTGGCCAGACAGATATCCATTTAAGGACATATGTCAAGAAATTCTCCCAGCCCTTATAAAACAAGTATATTTATCATGCTTTTATTGTACATGCAGCCTCAAACTCATTGCAAGAAAAATGAAATTCTTCTTTACAGTCATGTGTACAAGACCAGACAAAATGTTTGGCCATCCAAGGAGTTGACTGGACAAAACCAATATCTAACCAGAGATTGTCCATTGGCTGGTTGTTATTTCAAGCCCTACTCCCCCTGGATGGGATGCTAGTCCAGCGCTGATGCCACCCCCAGCATTTTGCCATGTTCACTGTTGCCCTGACAGTCTCCCTGAGAGAGGCACTGTGTGAGTTTAGTTTCTTGCCCAAGAATACAAAACATGTTTGATTCAGGGTAAGAGCAGATGTCTACCTCCTTTTTTTGGGTAGCAATTTCTTTCTCTCCTCAGCATTTTGCTGTTTTTAAAATTCAAGTCAAGAGCCATGTTCTTTTAAGCCCTAGCTCACAATCCAACCTAGCTTTCATGAGTGGGTCTCTTATAAATAAGAACGACAATACCATGCAAACTGTACTTTTTGTTGCTTGTCCTTATTGTAATAGAGTGTTTGTCATCATCAACTGTCACACTGTATACTTCCAATGGATATGGAAGGTTTCTTATTCTCCACTGAAAGGCTTTACTGTTGTCTTTTCTTGTGAACATGGGCTAAGAAGGAAAAAAAGCACATCATGAAACAGGTGAATTTCTATATACATGCATGTTGCCACTCCCTTATATAATTTAATGTCAATACACCAGTAGAATGATAGAAAACCGGAAGATTTTTTTAAATTGTTTTCAAAACCAGATATACTTCCAAGACATTATTACATTCTTAAACGAAGAGGAGTATTTGTCAAGGTAGTTTGAAATCATATGAACCCTTTAATCCATAAGAGTGACCAGCATCTGACTTCTCCTTACAGTATCACCCCTGAAACACAAATTCTCCTTGTCAGAATGTTAGGAAATGTACAGAGAACAGTATGGAGAATATGTATACTGATGTAAAGGGTTAAACAACAACATGATGGTATTTTTTCAAAGCATTGCATGCCATACTTGCTACATATATGCAAGCATTATTCAATTCAGCTACCTGACCAGTTCAGATCATACACCTTTTACATCTTCTTATAACAGACCAGACCTTCATACTTACATTTCCTCTACTTTCACTGATATTTTCCATATCCAAATTAACTGGCCTGAGGTCCTCACCAATCTCATAATCCCATTTCCCTTCTCTACCAAGAGTAGATTTTTTCTTCCATTTCCTCACTTGAAGAAAATGGGTTAATGTCAGTCTTTACATAAAAATTTAAGTAAGTATACTTGACTGGTTCTGAAACGTTGATATACTGAAAGTGTTCCCAAAGTAATACATGTATGTTTTTGTCACTTTTAACAGAACTCACCCAAGAGTTCCCCAGAGGTTACCTCATATTCTTCTACCATTTCTGTTCCATCCGGAAAAGTGTAATGAACTTTTTGCCGACCTAGAAAAAGGATGAAGCAGAGCACCAGCTACTACTGTAGAATATAGCTATAGGAATAATTCATAAAACAAGCTTTTATGCCAATTGCAAGGACGCCAGCAATAATGTTATGTCCAAAAACTGAAGGGTAATGCGATATTCTTTTGTTGTATAT